TATATATATATATTTCGAAATCCAATTCTGAAAGAATAGTAGCACGCGAGAAAAGTGAAGTTGCAATCATTCTCGATGATTTTACGTTGATTTGTAACATTCGAGATTTATGAGGTAAGAACCGGTCTGGTTTCTACGCATTTGTTTGTGAATCAATTAGAATATGCAATTACTACTAGAGTTATTATAATTAGCGATTGCGGTAATGCGAGAAATAAGTTTCTTGCATTACCTCGCCATCCACTTATGCGCTATTTAAGTCTAATTAGAACGGGGTCTCGAACTAATTTCTCTCGAAAAATCCGAGAAAAATATAGAATCGTTAGAAACTTTATTATTACTTTAATCGCTAATTTTGCAACAAGAATATTTTTCACAAAAGATAAGATCATGTCATCATAAGATTTTACCAGCAGTAGATTTTATAAATAGCAATTGATAAATAAAAAATAAATTATTAAACTGCTTACCTCATTGTTGTTTTGCTATTTATTAATGTCTTTCTTAGATCCTTCTTCTCTCTCCTTTGTCTCCTGCTGTTTTTCCATCGCATTCATAAGACACTCACTCGCAGAAAGATAGTTAATTGATCATACACGCACTAATCATAAAAATATGACATTTATGCGATACAATATGTCCTCATATTAATCGTGCGCATACTTTATTCTTTATTGCAATAGGAAAACGCGATAATTATACGTAATTAACACGACGTGCACGACAGTTCCTTCTTTGTGCGCATACTTTATTCTTTATTTATTCTTTATTGCAATAGGAAAACGCGATAATTATACGTAATTAACACGACGTGCACGACAGTTCCTTCTTATTCGGTTTCCAGCTTGCGAATGATAAAAGATCATCGTATATAATAGGTATGTATCAAGAACGTAAGCGCGGAGAGGTAGCGGCGCACGAATGACAACAAAACCGTATGTAAACAATAGCGCGCTATAATGTCGACGAACTTTGTGACGTATTATTATATACAATGATGTTGTTTATATCATTCGCTGGAATACGTTGGAATGCGAACGAGTGAGAGTCGTTCTCTGAGACACTCCGTAAATTATCACGTTATTTCTCGAAATATGTTCGCAAAATTGTAAGAAATGCCAAACGTTCATTCTTTACGAACATTTAAAGATTGTTAGACAATATAAGTAATGAATGTTCGCGATAATTCGGCCGCGCAATTTTCCAATCGTAAATTTATATAACCATAATTTTCGCACTTTTTCGTCTGAATATAAAGTAAAATATGTATCATGCACGATTCATCGGGAGTATAAAGTGTTGTCGTATTCTTATGATTAGTGCACGCGCAATAATAATTAATCGTGTTTTTGCGAGTGAGTGGCACGTGAATATCAATGAAAAAGCAGCAAGTATCAGGCAAGAAAGAAAAAGAAAATCTGGGAAAACATCGAGCAATGGCGAAACATGAAGTAAGAGCGATTTATAATATTAATTTATTGCTTATTATTTATATAAAATTAACTGACATGCATGAGGCATGTTTGACATCTTTAATCCGCGAAAAATACAATGTCTGGGAAACATTGTTTTAACGCAAAAGATTTGATATATATATCTCGTGTGTCAATTATACATTAACACAAAAAATTAATTATTATTTAAAAAATCACGCATGTAATAATTGGCGTTCTAAAATATTTTGTTGCTGACAAAAAAAAACTTGGTTTTGGTTAAATAAAATTTGAAAAATACTTTGTCTTTAATAGATATTCGACATAATAGAAAATATAGAAATATACTTTCTCTCGTCTTTTAAATATTGTTTAATTGTTCTTTTTATTATTACCTTCGTAGCAATATATGTAAATTTTTATAATACCCGCGTGAGAAATTTTATTTTAGAAAGTTGAAGCGCGAAGTGTGAAATACACCGTCATTCTGACTACTCCCATTAACGATCTAAGATTAACGGCAGATCTGGAAAAGTAGAAGTTAATACTGATGCGGCTAAAATTAATATCATACTATACGGTTCTCTAAATTTTGACACATTTGTAGTTATTAATAAATACCGTATCGTATTTAAATGATATTTGCTTTCTGTCAAGATATATTATCGAGAGAAATTATAGCAGAAAGTACAATTCCAAAAAATTTATAAGATGAAAAAGATAATAAAATTAATATTTTTATATATATTGTCTAATGTATGTTGGAGCAACACACATTTATTCATTGAAATAGTTTTTAAATTCAAGCTATATCAAATAAATCATAGCATAGATATTCTTCAATTGGAGAAGAAAGATATCAGTTTCCATAAGTAAAGAGTATAAATAGTGCGGTTCGCGATTATCAATTATGATTTTGTTACGCTACCACATGTTAGAATTCCTACACATATTGTGTCATGTGCGACCCTGACTCGACTTTCCTACTTTACGATCGAGTTACACATCGCTCGCAGTGACCGCTAAATTACATTCTTCAGGTCTGTGATTTAATAATGCATCGTTGCGAAATTTTCAACAAGTATTGCAAATTTGTATTAAAATTTGCAATTAGAACGTCAGTCTTAACTAAGTCAGAAAATTATATTTCTAGTTCTCGAATGTTTTGTAATTTACTTATATTTTAATTGTAATAATAGTGTTAGACATAGTCCCGAATTATCTTTCTTTCTTTGTAGCAAGATACATGTATCTTAATGTATCTAGCACAATTTATCAGACGTCAAAAATGGCATATCGAGGTTTTCATATAACAAAGGAGCGTATTTTCAATTTTTTGAAAAATGAGATATTCCTATATCGTATATTCCCATATTCTTATAAAATTATATTTCTATGTATAAAATCAAGTTTTAAAATGTTTTTCTGTAAAATTACGATTTCGAGTTTACGCCTCTATGTAATGAAATGACCCTCGATATGTGTTCATAATATTATTAATATCAATCATACTCATTATATTACATATGTTAAAGAATATTATTAGTTTATATGTATGAGCTAAAACAATAAGTAAAAATAGGAAATGTTAAATCATATTATATATGATTACATAAAATCCATAAGAGAACTCGCCAAATAATTTAACAGTTCCATTTTTACGATCACCTGTAATTCAAAAAATTTAAGAAGAGAAATATAAAAAAATCACTGACCTTGAGCAAGTCGCGAAAGTATGGACTGCATGCCGAAAGAACGACTTTGTGCGCGGTGAAGGTGCGGCTGTCGCAGGCAAGCGTGACGTCGACGAAGTCTTGGTGGTCTCTCAGACTCCGGAATGAGTTGAGAATGCTCAAGTGGAAGTCGTTCCACCTAAGCGAGTACTGCTGCTCGCCGCCGCTCGATGAGGACGAAGAGGCCGCCATGGCGTCCGTCCCCTTAGGACTCACGACCCGCGGTGCTATCGTGTTCACTCCTCGGCACTCCACCCTCAAACACCCTCGCCTGTCTTGCAATTGACTCGTTTCCGTTGAATACGATAGGCCTTGACGAGCGTCAAGCTCGTTATATCGTGTGACCAGAAATGTTATTGCGACGAATGATGCTCAAAGCGTCGTATTATTTCACGCGATGATCGTTAGGAAAAAGAAAAGCCAATTTCCCAAATAAAAGCAGATACAAGGGAAATTCCGAGTGTTCTACGTTGATGGGTTTCATAATATTTACGACATGACAAAAGTACACTTAAAGAAGCGCTTAAGGAAACTCTATAAAATTATCAGTCTCCGATATGAAAGGATATTATATTTATATATACTATGCACGCTTAGTGCAAGATTCGGTCTTACCACGATTGGTCAGACCTGATGAAGTGGCGACCATCCGTCATTGTTTTCTGCAAGTAACAACATGCTTGGTTCACTAGAAAATAATTAATTATTATACGTACAATATAGAGTAAATAAATAGGATATTTTCAATCAATTAAATATCATCATTCTAATAGTAATGTATCGAGAGATAATAATGATATAGAGTAAGTCCGGAGGTATAATGATCATACGAGAAAGATGGTCAATGAAAAAATTATAGGGAATTATTCAACAAATGACAAATGATTAATTAATTATCAAGTTTGCTGTGTGCACGCTTGGATATGACGTTTATGAGTTTTTGTAATTGTTTTTCAAAAATGTGTAAGCTTTAATATGAGAAAATATATTCAATATGGTGTTAAGTAGACTAGTTTATTATAATTTACGTATTTGCGTTACGTATATATGATATTATTGATAATTCATGCATATAGATTGGTAAAACTTTTATGCAGTACTCGGGAATCGAAGATTACATTTTTAATGGCCACTGACTGACCAATCGCTCATAAAAATTTGAATATGTAATTCGTAACGGACACATTATGCATTACATTTTTAATGCCGGATTCATCGGAGACGATTAAAATTTAAATTTTAATACGCCGTGTTCATAATGAACAAATTAAGTATTGCCAATGTAAAACTCGCTGTTAATGGAATTGTGCAGTCGACCTTAACATGCACAATCGTTCGGCATAAAATATTTTTATATTTATTTTGTTAACCTTTTGTTAACACCATCTAAAGTTGTTTATGCCAAAATCATAAAAGCCATGAAAATTTCGTTAAAAAACATACATCCCATTTGATATTATTATGCTCATTGCAACGTAAATTTTACGGAAATTAAAAAATTACATTAATTTAATATATTCGAAGATCTTTTCATGATTTATTACAAAAAAAAAACATGTAAATAAATTTAGAAGAATCGGCTTGCATTAATTTTACTCTAGAACTCGATCAAAAAATGTTCAATAATCCAACACAATCATAGATTTCTATATATTATATCTAGACTGCTAACACGGCTATGTATGTCTCATATGATCACATGTGAAACAAGGACAGCCATTTACAATTGGGTAGAATAGAAGTGTATATATATATTCTTTTTTTTCTGCCCAATTGTAAATGAGTGCCTTGACTTCATCTGTAACATTATTGTTAGCAGTTTAGGTATAATATATATAAATCTATGTTCACAATAATATTTATACATCAGTGCGCCTATAAATTTGCAACTTAAATAAGAAAATTTATACATTAATAAATTTATATATTAATTTAAATTTATTTTAAAACAAAAAAAAAATTATTTATTTGAATAATGTACAAACAAAATAATAAAAATAGGAGACTAGATTAATCGATAACTATAATAATAGAACCACTGCCTATATTTCTTAAATTCCCCTTTTGCAATAGTAATGCGTTAAATTCAAGGATGCTCTCTCTTTTTCTATCATTCTCTGGCATTTACTTGTTGGGTTGAAAAATATGTAAATGCTTTACAAAGATACGTCATGTTTCTGCCACGGATGATTCTTACCAATGTATTTAATGCCTATTTATTATTACTTGTATCTTGACTATTTATTTATGACTAACTTATTTCTATGCTTGATGATTTTGACTCGCGAGATCCGATAGAATTATTACGAGAAAGATATTATAATATTGTAGTATTTTAATAGGGATAAAAAAGAATGATGACCGGACCGCTAATTTCGTTTTAATGTTAATAACGTCTCTTTTAATGTTAATAATCGAATCTGTACAATAGTCAATACAAAATAGTCGAACAACGGACTCGAAGAGATACTCCGACACGATAATGCTCGCCGCACGTCTATACTAGGTGTAACTAAACAAACGCATATGGACAATACTATCAGATACAGAACAACAATCCAAATCGAAAAGTCCTGAACCATTTTTTGATCTGAGCTTTCTTTTCGTTGTTATATAATGTTAAAGTTAACTAATCAGCGCCTATCTACAACGGAAAACAGAGAAGGTACGACGGGGGTCGGAGTAGCGAGA